ATGCAGGAATACGACAAAAAATCATGAATTTGATTAGCAGTAGTGGTTGAAGATTAGGCATTTGTTACATCACTAGTTATTAAATTCAAAAGTCAATCAAAACTTTTGCCATTGAAAACAAACAAGACCTGGCCCTTGTCATGTGCTAAACTGTGTTGTACAACCCAACCCAACCACTAATTTGGTGAAATCAATACATCACACACGAAACAGGAGGAGTTTGAAATAGTGAAGTTAAAGCTTTATTGAGAAAACGATGTCTTTGATAGCAACAAAAACAGAGAGATATGGTATGGTCTTTCTTATTATATTTACTGATTACCAATCACGGAAATAAAAACTGGACCAAGTGGGTATACTAATTCGTTGCAGGTTTTGAGAGTATTCGACGTTTACATACATTTACATTGTCGCCATGAGCCAAAGTGAGGTGTGATTTAGACGATTCCTGTTACCACATAGAGGTGAGCCTTCAATGTGTTCATAGAGAGGAATTTTGCAAACTATGAGTAAGTCTATTTTAAGGAGTAGTGGACGAAGCTTTTCTATGCATTTGAAGTGTAAATGGTCTGTGGGAGTCTGAGGGCGAGGCTACTGAGATGTGAACCACCTACTCCAAGTAATGCTTCAGAGAGCCTGTCCTTGAGAGCTCACCGCAATTTTCTTGCAGCTTTGACTCACAAAATTTGCAGAGCTTAGGGTGCATGAACCCCAAGAGATCATCTCCAATTATGTATTTGTCTTGTGCTTTTCATCAAATGGTTGTATTAATTATTATGTTTCAATTACATAATCCCCGACCCGCCAGGTTAGTTCATAAGATAAAAGAGTTTTGGAAATTAATATTTTTAACTTCCAAGTTTTGAGTATCCTAAGATACATTTACTTGACTCAATACATGTATTTTTCGAGTGATTTCGTGTATCCTCAGTTCACATAGCTGCCACATATTCAAATAAGACGTGGTTAAAACAACTTGACATTCATAAAAAAAAAAAAAATAATAAAAAAAAAAAAAAAAATTTAGGTGAACCCCGTATCACAGGATACTCCAACAGAGCTTATTTTGGAATGGATAATTCCTTTTATCATTTGTTTTCGTTGCAACTATATAAAGTTGAGAGTGTAATTACCCATAAACTATTATTTGGTTCTTGAACTTGATATTTGGATATATGAACATTGCACGACATACGTTACACGTAAATAAATTTAAATAATATTATTTTTATAAAAAATATAAATTATATATGTAATTAAATTAAATAATAAATTAGGTGTCAATTAATTAATTATTACTAAATTTAATTATTGATTTTTTCTATAAGTTTTTAAGCAAGAAATATGTCATTTATTTAGGTATCTGTTAAACCCTTTTAAATATTTGCACGTCTAATTATGTTATAAAATTAATAATTTTTATTTTTTTAAATAGATTAATTAGATTGCTCTTATAATATTATTATTTTATTAAATACCAAAAAATAAAATATAACATATATTTTATAAATAACTGTATATAATTGTATTACTAATAAATGAGTTCAAAAGAATTTAAAAATCCTTATAAAAAGTTCAAAGTTGAAAGTTAAATGTGTAAAAATTAAAAATATATAGGAGGGTATAATTAACTTTATTATAATAATTAGAGATAAAATCAAAAATCAAAATTTTTTACGGATGCTAACATTTATAAGTAATATTAATTAATTGATTAATCATTGAAACTCTATCATCGACCTACTCGGGCTATATTTCTCCCAGTCAATAGAACTAAATGTTTCATATAAGAATTGCACGGTGTATTAATGCATGTGTGGAAACAAGTCCAAATGAAGGGAACTTCATAGATCAAAATCAAGTTTATTACGATGTACATTTCATACAAATACAATACGGGCCCTCACACGTAAAAACTGAACAATTAGTCACATGGATTGAGATGTTTGTTTTCAAAAGTCACTGAATTAGAAAGGAAAAAGGGGGAGGGGGAGGGGGGGGGGGGGGAGGTGCAACTAAATTATTGAGTTATTAAATTTGAAACTAGTTAAACAGCATAGTATCTTATGTCAAAATCAAAATCTCATAAAGAGATGGGCCGGAGATTGTCCACTCAAAACCAAGACCTTTGGACCCAGTCCTGGCTATGCATTTCCTAGTTTTACCACAATAAAAAGCGAATCATATATAACTTTTGGCATAAAATACACGTTTTAACCCATGGGCATAGTTTGTGCGTGATAGTGTGCATCCGAGGTTTACATTATAGCAACAAGTCTAAAGAACGTTTGGTTGAAACAATTGTACATTATCAAAAAACTAACCACCATCCCTCCCCTAAAAAAAAAGGGAAAAGAATGGAGGGGGACTCTTTTAGTGGTGTTGGGTTGAATAGCTGGTATCCCTTGTTTGAAATGCAGCAAAAGATGCCTTGCACAGAGGGGGGGGGGGCTACAAAAAGTTCCATCGAACGGAGAAGTGCATTTGAACTGTAGGAAAAGTGCAAAAGTCACTTAAAAGAAAAAAACAAACAAGACAAAAAGCAAAGGTAAATTGGTAGAGTGGAGTAGGAGCAACTTTGAAATGGGGCCTGAGGAGTGTCTGTGAACCTTCTGCCATTGCTGAAAGTGTTTATGGTGGTAAGAGAGGACAAGGTACAGAAACATGCAGAACGCTATCTTTTTTTCTTGCTAAAGTTGGGGCATTCCTATCAGAAATCAGAAGACTCCCTTGCTTATACCTCAGCATCTTCAGTTTTTGTTCTCCAACACAGACCAGCTTTTTCTTGATGATCAGAAACATGCTCTTTTTCATATGTTTTTGTCTATTATGGAAGAACATATAATTTCCTCAAGAATATGCTCTCAAGTGCTGGCATGTCCAAAATCATGGTACAGAAAGATAGGGGTAGCTAGCTAGCCTAATTCACCATGGCTTACCACAGCATATGAGCTCACCTATTGTCACACTTTGACAGAGCATATACACTGTATTAAGCAATTTGGGATAATGGTGAACTTAAATAAGTTACTAAAACCATTCTATCAGGAATGCATGGCAGGCTTAATAATCTCATGCAATATGCGGCGTGCTGTGGTCATGACCAAGGCTCGGCAATGGGACAGTTTGGGCCGGGCTACAAGTCAATGGGCAATGTCCATCTTTGGCCCAGGCCTGTGGTTGTTGACCGTCAACAGCTAGTGTCAAACAAGCCACCAAAATGGGCCTATTTTTGTCAAATGTGTTCGACTTTTTTCGTCGGATTTGACATTTTTTTAATTGTTTTCAAATTTGATGGCCAAAGGGCCGGGCTGTGGCCTATTTATTGGGCCTTAATGTGTCTTAAACAGGTCATCCCATGGGACCGATGGGCCCCATAAACCCTATGGCAGAACGGGCCAATTCATTGGCCATGGGCTTTTGCCTACTCTTAAGATACATTTGGTATGAGAGTTGAAAAATAGGAAGGAAGGGAGAAAAATTAAAATAGGTGAACTTTTCATTCTTGGAGGAAGGAAATACTTTTTCACTCCTCTTTGTTTGGTACGATAGATGGAAAGTTCAAATGATTAATTTTTCATTGTTTTGTATTGAAAGAAAAGTGAATGGAAAGAAAACAAAAATAAATTTTATTTATCATTGTGTCCTCACATATAAAATACAGTTTTTTCTATTATAAGTACACTTTTCATAATCAAACTGATTTTTCCAAAAAGAAATTAATGTGGTTTGGAAAAACAGTACTCTCACAAGTTGAAATAATGGATAAAATTAATTTGTTCAATTACTATTTATTTTGCAATCAGTTACACGTGGCTAACTCCAAGCAAGACTCATAAATAATTGTGCACACATTTGAAAGGACTTGCATTTAGGGGTAAAATTGTAAATTAACTCAAACACACTCAAAAGGCTGCACTTTCTCTACACTTTCTGCCCAAATGTGGACAGAAAAATTTTGGTGGGCGGAAGAGATTCTCTTTCCACCGATTTTTCCTTTCCTTCACCTTTTCCCTTGAAACCAAACAATAGAAAAACATTCCTGCTCTCCTATTTTCCACCCACCATTTTCCTTCCACCCTATTTTCCATCATACCAAACACACTATTAGGCATGCTGAGAGACATGTGCTTGTATAACAAAGAAAGAACACACAATCAGCTTACAGAGTAATTAACTCAAGACCTTGCCTGGACAAAATATATATGAGATAAAAACAATAGATGCGTACAATTCCATCAATAAAAGAAGGGAAAAATTTTAGAACCACCTCGATGATATATAGTTGCGTCAATGTACATTTGGAGGACATAACAAAAAATTGCATGCAGATCCCTTGAGAAACTGGCTGCATAATTAAAATTCATTGTGGAAATCTCGGAGATAATGATAGAAATTGAACTAGTCAATTTCTGTTTAGTACCAATGGGCCTTTGGTCCAATGGTACTCCTTGCCTTATGAAGGTTTTGCCTACTTGAGGTCAAGGGTTCAAGTCCCCCTTCCCCTCCCCTCCCAAAGAAAAAAAAATTTAAGAAAAAAAAAATATAAATGTCAGTATCTGTGAAAAAAATTAATAAAAAAAATAAAAAATCTCTGCTTAGCTGCTGAACATCTAAATTAGTAGTGTAAAATGGAGACATCTACTTATTCTTTCCAAAACAGTTCAAAAGATGGCATTTTTGAACAAATGGATTCTGTGACTTCATACTTTTATCCTTAATCCCCCTCGGAATACCATAGGGCTCATTCTTATGTTTAAAGTGAACAGACAGACCCTTTGCACATCATACACAAAGCACAATTGTCTCTTTGATATACCGTGTTTGAGCAGTTCTCCCTAGTTTTCATAGTGAATTTACCTAACATTAATCATTCGTGGAAGATAACATTAAAAGTGCACATGTTGAGGGCCACATAGAGAGCCTCCAAATTACATGGACAGTGAAAAACAACAGAAGAGTTAATGAAAAAGTGGATGAGGTAGGGTGACTTTGGTATATCAGAGTTTGGATTGAACTTTCTGGATGAGCTCTCTCCTCAGAATCTTTCCTGCAACTGACCTGGGAATGCGATCTATGAAAGTCACTCTATGTAGTCTTTTGAATGGTGCAACCTGTAGAGAAGACAATCTCATCAAAAATGCTGGCAGAAAGAAGTCATATTCATCACAGGTGAAAAAAAAACTCGCGTTTTGAATGAAACCATTCTTATGCTAATGACAAGCACAGGTTGCTTCCTTTAAAGTTTTATACCATTCAGCTGAGGGCAACAAATAAAAATGGGATGTTGTTCTCTTTTACATCCCATTTCATTGATGCGTTGCTACTTCCCTACCTGTTCTGCAACGAATTTCTGAACCTCCTTTTCGGTTAGTGAGCTACTTGGTGAACAGACAACATATGCAATTGGGACCTCACCAGCTTCTGCATCAGGAAGCCTACAAAAGGAAAATGTTGCTTGACGACTGTTGTGTTCGTAATTAAGATGGGTATGAATGCCTATATTTGACAGCTAAAGCATAATTAACTTGTGTATTGGACTAAATGCCTCTACTACTCACGGGATGACAGCAGCATCTGATATTTTCGGGTGAGAAAGCAGCAGCTCTTCAAGCTCTGCTGGTGCCACCTGACAAATAGGAAAGGTCAATTGATTAGCTTAAAAGGGAATACGAAGTATGTTTTGCATAAGATACAATTGCAATGCATATATTCTTCCAGCCTATAATTCTCTTGTCATTGTGATAGAGCATAGTACACCCCAGAGGGAGGGGGGATCAGGTTTCTTTGGGATTGGTATGGTATCAAAGGTTGGGAACCAATGTCATAATACAATTCAACCTTATCAAGCACGAAACTTTGGAACCCTGGGCCACACCAGTCCAAGCTTTTGATTTCAGTGTACATGTAATTGAGTTATAGTTGTCAAACAAGAACACAAGAGTTGCTGGAAAATTCTGCCCACTCATGGTCAGAACTCTTCTCCTTAAATAGAATATTACCTCACAAGATTACAGCAATATGTCCTACTCTATAGCTCAACTGAAACAATTAAGATCCCTATTCTACGTATCCTACAGCTATCTTCTAAGAATGAAAAGAATATCACGTCAGATCTCTATTTTCAGCAATTAATATGGGTGATATGGTAAGTTTGACAACTGTCTTGGACAATAGTGTCAACAATCTCAAGTTAATAATTGATCTCCATGATACACATACTAGTAGAATGATGCCAATTATTCACAGAGGACCTTCGGATATATGTGCACATAGGTCTCAACAAGTCGTGTTTCCACTCTTTCATACCGATGGAAGTTAAAATCTCACAATAATCAGGGAGCTTTTTGTAGTTCAATATGGACACCAATAAGAGAAAGCAATGGTTCAATATAAGACACTGCACATCAATTTGATGAGATCAAGTTACCTGGAAGCCTTTACACTTGATAAGCTCTTTAATTCTATCCACAATATATAATCGTCCCTCTTCATCGAAATAGCCAAGATCACCTGTGTGCACCCAACCTTGTTTATCTATGGTCTGCTCTGTGGCCTTTGGATTGTTGAAATAACCTAGAACAAGACAATTACATTACTACCACGTCGAATTATAGACAACAAAAGGGAGAAACCTCAATCTCACTAGTAACATCATATACATAGAGAAGATGATTTAATATTCATACTTTTATATTTATCGAGCTTCAGATTGTCCCAATTTTCATTATCAAAATTTATGAATGTAACAAGTTGTAATTAATTGAAAAAAACGTAACTAGATGAAAGTTCAGTAATTTGCCGCCTTGTATTACTTGAAACTTGAGAATCTCACCCATCCCCCACACTGTTCTTTCAAATTAGATGACATGACTTTAACCTGAACTTTAGGAAAGAGGACGAGGGACTTGCAAAAATCGAGGTCGTGTAAAGGTTTGCGAGCAGCATTAAATAACATTCTTATCTAAAACCTGGAATTTATGCTTACCAGCCACTAGTTTGTGAGAAGCACTGGACTACATCTCGCAGAACACAGACAATAATGCACTTACTTCAGACTAAAAGGATTGAAAGAAGATCAAACATGGACAGTAGTTGATTAGAGGTAAGCTTTGAAGGCAGCCTTTACTAGTTTTCTGATGTTGCATAAGATGACATTCTTCAGATGCAAAACATTAAGATTTCCAAAAAGAATGGAATGAATACCATCGCTACCGGTGTTTTTCTAAAAGAGGAATAGAACTGTTACAGCCTCCATCACTAGTGTATTTCAAGGGGACAAAAACAGAGTAATGCACTCTTACACGAGCTGATTTAGTGCACAAACATTCAATGCAAATTCTACCTGGCATCATATTTGGTCCACGAACCCATATTTCGCCTTTCTGATTTGGTGGAAGAGGCTTCCCTGTATCCACACTTACTATTTGTGATTCAACTCCAGGAACAAGCACTCCACTTGACCCTGAATAGCGAGATCCTATCCTGGTATCCTCCAATGAGATGATTCCACACATCTCTGTCATACCATAAAGCTGCCAGAATATAGCAAATTGTGATGCAAGTAATTACAAATTAATATGAGTTAATCAACTAAAATATTAAGATACACTCTGGATTATTACAGAAGAAGAAACAACCTGAAAACAAATCTACCATACATGTAACTAAGCATAAAGTCGAACAAACTAAGTTCAATCCTCTCTCTCTCTTGAGTTCTCTGTATAAGAAGATTACCCGTTCATAAAAGAGCACCGGGGTATTAGTCACTTCAAACAAACTGGAAAATTTTAATGTTGCGGGAATTCTATGAAGAATGAGAGTTGTTGCTATGTGTATAATAATTCCGCACCCGAGAGTAAAGGTATCTTTTTCCTAGTGTATTTTTCTGAGGCTGATTTAGTATTGGAAGTTGATATAGACCCTTAGTAAAGTAACCCACCCTGTATATTGTATCGATACAGTTAGTTGGGGATATTGTATCTGTTAAGCAACATGAGAGGTAGCATCAATTTATGACAGAAATTCTTGTTGGAGGAGGTAGAAACAGTGGTTTTCCACAAGGATACTTACTTTATTCTCCTGAATATCTTTCAGGGGTATATATTAAGATGCTAGCTGCATGGCGAAAGATGAAAACAATTGTCCAAATGGACAATAGCAAGAGCAAGAAACAATTAGTCTGAACAAAAAAGAAATTCTTGGAAGAGAATGTTAGTTTTAACAAATTACAAAATCCAGCGGTAGCATGCAAACACTCATGTTTGATGGTGACCATATCATTATGATTTCGATTAGGGGTGTTCATGGGCCAGGTTTCCGGGTCTCGTTACTATGACTTTGCCCGAGTCCGAGCCCGAGCCCGAGCCCGAGCCTAATATCCTTAAAAAGAGAGTTGAGTTTGTCCCCAAACCCATTACCCGGCCCAAAATCCAGCCTAATAGTTCGCCCAAAAAACCCGTTAAAATTTGGCCAAAGAGCCCACCCGTCAAACCTGCTCGCCAAACCCAACTCTACCACATAGCCCATCTATTATTCCTTGGAAAAAAAATTATACTTTTAAATCATTAAATTTGAAACTTTGAAATAAGTCTTTCAATGTCAAAATTTAATGTTTTAAAAATTTAGATACTATAACTAATGTATTTATTTTCTTTTTCATGTATTAAGTATACAACTTTTTTAAGGATAGAGTAATTCAAATGATAAATAAGTGAATAAGTGTCAATTTAGGTGGAATGTATTCATTCTATTACATAAAGTTCTTTTTTTTTTTTATATATCTTTTGTTTTTGGGAAGGGAAGGGGGGGATAGGCTTGAACCATTGATCTCAAGAAAGCAAAATCTTCATAAGATAAGGAATACCATTAGACCAAAGACTCATTGGTATATTGAATGTAGTTCATTCCCTAATCAAAAATAAAATTATTCATTATTTTATTTTTATCCATTGAATCTATTTTTGATTTAAAAATATAATTTACACAAATATTAAGTTATAAAAATATTTATTATTTTTAAATGAAATTGTATATAAAAAAATCCGTGAGCAGGATCGTCAATAGGCTCGCGGGTTAGGCTATGCATAGTCTATCTCTACCCAAAGTCCTACCTGACCCGTTCGATAACTCACTTTAGGTAAGGACTTGGGCCTACAATACCCGGTTCGGCCCAAAAAAAATTTGTGGGCCTGCCTGGACCGGCCCATGGACACGTAATTTCGATGTAGCTGTACTATGTCACTGATGTGCTTGCAAATATCATATCTAAGGATACTATGCCTTTTTGCTTGTTTTTGCAAAAGCCTTTCCACTTATTGTCTCCTTTTGGTACATCCTGTAAGGTCCCAGAAATACTTCGCCTCCCGAAATCTATTTGAAAGTGGCCTCTTTTATTCAATCAATCATCAACCGTCTGTCCATCTACTTCTGAAACCATAAAACTTGAAAATTGCACCCAATTGTTCTCTACCCTTCATAGGAACCGTGTCTGCCATGGATGGATACGGAGGATTCGATGTCCATTAATGTTATATCTGCACAATTTAAGGAAACTACACCTAAAGGCTTTCTATGTGCATATGAAAACTGTTAGGAACAAGGAATCAGCCCCCTTGAGGCTGAAAACTACCTCTAATTGCTCTCTCCCCAACATCGGCCCTGTGTCTGTTATGGATGGATACAGAGGATTCGTCACGCCATCCATGTTATATCTGTACAATTTGAGGAAACTACTGCTAAAGACTTTCTATCGGCGCATTAAAATTCTTAGGAACAATGTATCAGCCCCTTTGAGGTTGAAAACTGCCCCTAATTGCTCTCTCCCCCACAAAGGAACTGTGTCTGTTGTGGATGGGTACAGAGGATTCATCATTCCATCTTTGTTGTCTCTCTACAATTTTGGGAAGCATCGCCCGTGATTCTATCCAAACATAAAAAACTCTTACCAACAACCACTTGAGCTACGAACCACTAGGAATTCTGAGTCATAAGAATCTAATGGATCTTTTCAAATCGAATGTAGATGAACCCCAGACCATTTCACTAACAATTGAAAATTAGAATGGGACCCTCAATACCAAATTCAATTCTATTTGTGATAAATCTTTCTAATTGGAATTTTATCAATCAAAAACCAAAAAATTTAATGTAGGACTAAAATGTCAATCATTTAATCACCTGCAAAATCCGAGCCTGAGGAAAACCCTTGGCACAATCTTCCATCACATCCTTTCCTAATGGTGCAGCTCCCGATCCAATCTCCTTCAACGACGACACATCGTACTTCTTCACCACCTCCCTCTGCTTCCCCAATGCAATCACAACCGGGGGCACCACAAACATGTTTGTCACCTTGTACTTCTCAATCGTCCTCAACACCTTCTCCAATTTGAATCGTGCCATCGTCACTACCGTGTTCCCCCGCTGCAACTGCGCGAAAAGTATCAGCGATACCCCAAATATATGAAACATCGGAAGAAAACACAAAAATACATTCAGGGCATCGCCGTAAAAGTGCTGGTCCGATGTCAACATTAACGAGGCAGCAATGAAGTTGCGATGTGTTAGGACAACCCCTTTGCTTCTCCCTGTTGTCCCTGATGAGTACAAAAGAGCAGCAATATCACCTTGTACAACTGACGACGAAGGTAAATCTGATAAATTCTTGGATGAATTTATTAAATCTGAATAAAACCAATACGTAGAATGATTTGAGTTGTGAACTGAATTTTTAGAACTTAATAAGATACAAGGTAAATTGAAGTGTTCGACTTTGGGGAGAAGTTCATGGACAGTGATGATGAGTTTTGGGTTTGAGTCTTTCACTTGATTGGAGAGCTCAGAGACGGTGTATTGGGGGTTGACGGTGGTGGCGATGGCACCGATGGCGACGACGGCGAGGAAGGAAATGGGGAAGAGACTGGAGTTGGGCGCGAAGATGAGGACTACATCGTTTTTGGCAATGTTAAGATTGAGAAGAGCGTGAGAAAGATTGGAGACCTTGGTTTTGAGGTCAGAGAAGGTTAAGGTTTCGTTAGAATCAGAGTCGACGAGTGCGAGGCTTTGGGAGAGAGATGGAAGGTTTCTGAAGAGGAATGGAACCATGGAGAGGTTTGGGTCTTGTGGGAGAGCAATGGGTGGTCTTGGCGACCTGAAAACTCCGTCGTTGCCGTAGAAAGTTGGTGCCATTGAAAGTGCAGAGATTGGTTTTTTGAGGTTTGAAAGTGGTGGGAAATGTGGGAAGACGATGAGTTTGTTCAATTATAACAGAAGGGCTAATTACAACTTTTCTCCACCAAGTTCGCGTCATGTTACAGTCAATTCCTCCTGATTTTGACTTTGATAAATTATTCCCGAAAAATTAAATATTTTTCAATTAAATCCCGCCATTCATTGATTTTCAACCCGGAATTGAGATCACTTGGCTTGCATTTGATTATTTTTTTGTCACTTTCGACTGTGGAAAATTAACAGATTGAGTTAATTGGGGGTAAATTGATGAAATTGAAACCAAATAGAATTGGTTGCAATATGACTCAAACTTAGAAGAGGAGACAAATTATAATTCATCACACAACCAACCAAGGAAACATGGAGGAAAAAATGGAGTTTTGGACCAAACTGGACTATTTTTTAAAAGTAACACCCAAAAAAAGTGTCTTTTTAAATTAATTCTTACACTCAACTAGTTTTAAAATAGGTCGGTCCAAATATCTATAGGTTAAAAATGTTAGTCCAACTTATGTCTTTAATTAAAAAGGTCGGTTGGAATAATATTTTCAATTATGTTAAAAATATCATTTCAACAAATGTTTTTTAACCTAAAGGGGTCAGTTGGACTGACGTTTTTATATTTGATCTATTTTTTTGTATTTCTCTTTTTTCTATCTAAACTTAAATTTATTTATTTTTTTAATTTAATGTATTTGCCAAACATTTTCAAGTGTCATATTCTAATCCTATAATTTTGTGAGATAACAAAAGAAGTGATTGTTTTCAGATGAATCGTTTGGTTTTTTTTTTTGGCAACAGTTCTAATGCAGATTGAGTATATTTTTTTTTTTTACAACAATTGGCTTTAACGCACATTAATTTTATTTTTGTGATAAAATTCATCATCATTTCATTTTGTGTAATTCAAACCAATGTCATAAGTTGATTGAGCAATATCATTTGTCCATCAAAATTGGATAAACCATGCGCATATGGATTAATAATAATGCTATGAAAAAAATTCAACTTATGCCAAAAAAAATAATAATAAATTATTGTATGACATTGCATAAAATATAGTATGTCAATAATGTGATTGATGTTTATAACAACACAAAGGTTGATTGCATACACATAAACTTGATGAAATAAAAGTGTCTGATGCATCATCACTTAAATCGAAAAAATTATAAAGTTTAAAATTGAAAACAAGTAATGGATCCTCTAAAATTTCAATATCAACATATTTAGGAACGAAAATGCTCAATTTTTGCATATTTGATTGCATGCAAACGATCAAGTAGACGTTGCATCTGATCATTTTCACATTCAAGTCTTGCTATGACCTTATCATGCTTGTTTGAGTTTTGTGGATTATATATATCAGCCGAATGTACCTTCGGTACCGCTAGTCTATGTCAACGATAATATACTTTGCAGTATTTTGCTCAACTGGTGTCAATTTTTACCCATATGTAGTTCCCACCATGTCTGTTGCTAGCTGGAGCATCTAGTGTCGGCACCTACGCACCATTATTCTATTATTCTTTCTTCAAACATGTTTTATTGTTGATTTGTAATCCTCTCTATTCCTTTGTTACATCGTTAGTGAACATCTATGTGACACCGTTATGCCAAGTTCTCTTAGTTGTGTGCATAATGCGTCTGATGCATTAGCACGAAACGCAAACTCTCATCGTACTATTGCATAATAATTTTTTGGATCAAAAAATATTTCACTCATGTAATCATCATTTTGCTTTGGTAACAATCAAACCCGTTTATGTCTACGATTGTTATAGACTACAGAGCCTCTTGATGTACACATAATGTTCAATGTATATCATACCAACTAGGCATAATGTGTTTATATAGTAGTTTCAAAACCCTAATCATACATTATAATGGTTTTCGCTTCAACACGTATAGAAAAAATAATTCAATTCAAACATTGTGTTGCTGAAAAAGTTCGGTTACTAGAAAACCAGTCTATAGTCATGTCGCGCCACAATGTTGGGTCAATTCAAATAGCAACGTTGCACAATGATTTAGGAGGCCATAAATTTTAAACAATGTTATTCATATCAATATTTGAGCAGTTTAAGTGGATAAGAGTATTGTACAAAATATTCAAATGACTTCACATTATTAAAGTTGACACATGACAATAAATGAAGGATTATGTAGTGCATGTTTGTCCAAGTTAGTTTGAGTCAGTTGAAACAATAACGTGATAGAGTTTCATTATGACTACACACTGCTAGAGTTTCATTCATTAGAATGTTGTCAATTATGCATTAATTTCTTTGAATCAATGTGGAGTTGCTTCATCACTTGGCTAGTTGAAAAATTATGCAACTATAACAATAGAAACTACTTCATTGTGACTATTTCACTTTAGTACATGGTTTGCTATAAACCTCATGCAGTCAACATTCACAAAGTGGTGAGGTGAAGTAGTAGTGTGTAGTCATGTGAGGTTAACAGTTGATGCCAGTAATTTTATTGATTCAGTAGTTTATCAACTCATCACATGGATTGTAAAAAGTCATGCAAGTACAATAGTGGTTTGTCATTTCAATGGTTCAGTGATTTGTGATTTCATTGAATATTTAGGACTATTTATTCAATGTGTGTAAATGACTCATTGTACACAATTCATCTCGAGCCATGAATTATAGTCCATAAACATTATTTCAAAGTTTGGGTCATCATTGAGCGTTAGAGGATGAGTTTTTCTATCCATTAAATCCTCATTTACGTTATTGAAGCAAGGCTATAAGCACCATGAGGGCGGAATGACAATATCATTTGAAGGAAAGGGAATATCATAACCTAATTAGTTTTCATACAATAAATTTTGCCTTTCAATTTAATAAAGATTGAGAGAGAGAGAGAGGTACAGAGAAAGAGAGAGTGAAGATGTGCAACACACATAGAGGGGGAGACAATATAGAGAGACATAGAAAGAGATATAGAGAGACAGACAATTGAGAGAGAGATAGAGATATCAAAGATAATTTTGAAGGTGAGAGAGATACCAGAGATAGAGAAATGAGAGAGAGTGCAGTTATGACAGAGAGAGTGTGTCTGAGAAAGTGAAGTAGTGAGAGATTGTGTAATAGAGAGAGGGAGAGAGGGAGAATTATACCAAAAAATTGGGGCTCCGATGGTCTTCAACCAACACCTTCGGTGGAAGCATAGAGGCTCCGATGCACTTCAACTTAGTAGCTCCAGCTAGAGCATGGCGGCTCTGATCAATTCTACAAATTGGGGGTTTTTGATTTTGAGATGGGTTTCAGATGGTGGTGGTCGTGGTGGGGATTTTAGATGGTGGGAGGTTGGTGATTTTGATTTAGGGCTCACAAAAAGAGAGAAAAATCTGAGATAAAGGAAATAAGAGAAATAAGAAAAGGTAAGGCTAGCATTTTAATTAAACACATAAAACGTCGCTTAAACTAACTTTTTTTCAAAAACATTAGTTCAAGTAATGTTTTTTCATTACAAACAGCTATTAAAAACATCAATAGAACTGACGTGTTTTATTTAAAGATGTCAGTTGCACTGACATCTTTAGAAACTACTTGAGTTTCCTAACTAATTTGAAAACGACTTTTAGGTATAACTTTTAAAAAATACCCTAGTTTGGTCAAAAGCTAGAAGGAAACTAATGTAGGGCTCACTTATAATTTCTTATAGTTTTGCTTTTCTTTTCCTTTTTACCGAAAAATATGTTTTATTTTATATGCTATTGTACCACTCACGTTTGCCTTCACTTTCGTTATATCATATTTTATAGATTTACATGTACATACACATTAATATCTGATTCTTTTGATAAGTATGCAATAAAATTAAATCTAAGTACATAATTTACATATATATCTCGAGATGCACACTTAATTTATATAAAAATATATGGAGATGCACACTTAATTTATGTAAACATATATGGAGATGCACACTTAATTTATATACATGTATATTAGCATCTCGATAACACATCAACCAAGCCAATTGCATTTACATCGAAATTTCATAGTCAAAGCTGGGCTAAACTAGCATCAAAGGGTTGACTTTGATGAGATAAGAATTATGTCAATACTACATGAAAAATAATAAAAAAAATTAGGTATTTCATTCAAACGTATTAATCGTGTCAATTTCAAGTTATTTTTGGTTGACACTAACTCGATCTATTTATTTTCATGTTACACAAGTTAATTGGCTTGCATCTATAATGACCAGGGGTGGAGCCACCCTTGGACTAGTGCCCACCCTCAATTTTTTTTTCAGATTAGATATATATTTTTTAAAATTAAATTTAAACATATTTAATTATGTCCACCTTACTATTATGTTATTTTGATATCAATTCAGATAAATTCCTACCTAAATAATTATTAATTTCTGAGCAATGTTATTGAGACTTAATACATTTTAATATTAAGTCTAATAGTAAGGGGGTGTTTGATAACACCACGTAAGGTTTAAAACTAAATACTTTAAGCACTTGATAAATTAAATCCATTTAATAACCTAAAACTCATACTACTTAATATTTTATGTACTTTTTAAAAATAGACTAAAATTTTAAATTACAAGCCACATATTTATCACTTAATGCTGAAAATGTTAATCAGTAAGGATTTTATTAATTTCTCACAATTAACAAATATTTTCTCACCACCATTGTGTCATCACCATCACTACCAACACTATCACCACCACCACCGTTGTTACCACTACTACCATCACCATCGTGTCACTGTCACCACCACCATCGCTGTCGCCACCACTACTATTGTGCAAACCACCATTACCATCACCATCATTGTCGCCACCACCACCATCAATACCACCACCATTGCCACCACTACCACCACCATTACCACCACTACCTCCACCATCATCACTATTACCACCGTCACCACCATTGTATCACCGCCACCAACACTACCATTATGTCACCGCCA